AATGGAGATTGAAGGTAATTTGTTCAAAAACAATAGTTTGTCCATTGCTGTTAATTCTGTTAAAGATAGACAGTGTATCAGCCAATGTTTTATCAGTATAAGAAATTGACTGCTATTCATTGATAAGATAGGATATTTAGAAGAGTGATTTATCCTAAAAGTGCTGAAAGGACTGCTGGAGTGAAAAAGGAGTTCCATGGAGCACTAAAGACACCGTTAAAATGGAGCAACAAAAATTTTTATAACTCAAATCATCTCATAATTTATTTATGTGTCTTAGGGATGGCTCTTCTGGGGTTTTCACTGAGTGGTGATGTGCCTTCCTCAGATCTGAAAGGCTGATATAGATAGATACCGACTAGTCACAATAGCCAAGTTATACAATCAGCTTATATTCCCACTAATGAAAGAATGAGTAAAGAAAACTTGTTACATACACACAATGGAGTACTATTTGACCATAAAGAAGAACAAGACCAAGTCATTTGAAGGAAAATGCATGGAACTGGAGATCATGTTAAGCGAAATAAGCCAGACTCAAAAAGACAAGTATTGTATTATTATTTTCCTTTCATATGCGGAATCTAAAATATAGCAACAACAAAAATATAATCATTAAAATACAAGGGGAACTTTTACTAAAGAGGAGAGGGGCTTGCAGGAAAGGTGGATACAATTAAAGCATGCAGCAGCACAATTCATTGTAGGCAAACTGTGGAACCAGCCCAGGGGTCCATTAATGGAAGAATGAATAAGAAAATATGGTATATAAACACAGTGCAGCGTTGTTCAGCCGCAAAGATAAATAAAGTTATATTGTTTGCAGGAAAATCAGTGGAAATAGAGATGATTATAGTAAATGAAGTAAGTCAAACTCAGAAGGTCAGGGACACAAGGTTTCTCTCATATATAGAAGATAGGAAAAAGGAAAAGAAAGATGGGGAAGAAGGGATCTCATGAAAAGCAAAGGGAGATAAGCAGAAAAAGGGGCTGGGATATGTGAGGTGGGGGTGGGCAGGAAGTGCTGGGGAGTGATAGTGGCCAAATTATACTGTTATATTGTGTATTATGTGCATGTGTGAATATGTAATAACAAATCCCACCATTATGTATGACTATAATGCACCAATAAAAATGTGAAAAGAAAAAAATAAGTATACATTGCATAATGATTACCACGACTAAGGTAATTAACCTCACCTCATATCACTAACAATTTTTGGTGGTGACATCCCTGAGATTACTCTGCTAACAAATATTGAAAATAAACTATATTCTTATTAACAAATTTTCCCCATATTACATAAGCATTCCTGGTTCCTAGTCATTTATAACTGGAGGTTTGTTTCAGTTGACCAGTAACTACTATTTTTTCCCTAAACCCCAGCTTTTCATAGTTACAGTTCTACTCTCCATTATAAATTTAACTTTTTAAAATGTTTTAGCTGGGTACCATGGCATACTTCTGTAATCCCAGTGGCTCAGGAAGCTGAGATAGGAGAATCATTAACTTGAAGCTAGCCTCAGCAAGGGCAAGACGCTAAGCAACTAAGTGAGACCCTGTCTCTAAATAAAGTACAAAATAGGGCTGGGGATGTGGCTCAGTTTCTCCAAAAACATGCATTTTATCTTACATGAAGGAGTAAAAAATCATGTTCTATTATTTAAACATCCCAGGACACACATGACAGACAGAAAATGAGAACAATAAAACAGCTATTGCTAACAGCAGTTAATTATTAATTGTTACATTACCATTTATTTACCTTTTCTTTTATATTTTATTATAGTTAACATTTTGACAAGTCAATTGTACATTTTCCATAGTTAAAAAGTGTAAAATAAATTAATGGAGTAGGCCTGATGAGGCACTATCTCAAGTGATTAAGAAGAAATTAAATTCTTGTGCAATGCCACATAAGACACTTAGTCTAATTTCTGTGTTCAAAGTAATTTAGTAAATTTTCTCTAGGGTCTAAATCCCCCAGGTCATAGAGGTATAAGTAAGTCCTTCGTTTTCTTTTCTACCTAGAAGTCAGAATAAGCTTCTAAATTTTTCTATTTCTCCTCCACCCCCTCCTCCCTCTCTGTCTCTCTTCCACCCCTCCTCCTGCTCCTGTCTGTCCCCTTTATCCCTGTGTTTTCTGAAACATATTCCTAGAAAATTAACCAAAATTCATTGTGGTGCCTGATGTGTTTGCTAATTCTTAATATTTAAATAATATTTGAAATCTGAGCAAGAATTCCCTGGAGTCTATTTAAAATAAGAACAAGGTTTTCAGGTGAGTACTCTCAATATTACAAAATCTTGTAGAAATAAGAGTATATTATATATAAGACAATATGTCTTTTGCTGTTTTATACAATTTACGAATCATTGAAGTCCTGTACCTTTTAAAGCAGGGAACTCTCTTATACTGAAGGCCATACTATCTAGTTATCTTCTAGGGGAACTGATATTTAAGTTCTGATCTCTCCTTCTTTCCCTTGGGTATCAGTTCTGATTTTTCATTGTTGTTGTTTGTTTATTTGTTTTTGTTTCTGCTTTTTGTTTTTGGGATATCTACCTTGTGCATAGTAAAGTCACACTAAAAATTTTTGAAATGATGTTATAAAATCTAGGAGTACTCTCAACATTTCAGAATCTTGTAGAAATAAGAGTATGTTATATGTAAGTAATAGGAAACAGACATATCATGATGTTCTCATGTCCTGATAATAACAACTGTAGGTACACCAAGAAGCTATTATTGGAGTAAAAACGGAATATCTCTTTGTGATATTGATTTTCATCTAAGACCTTTTGTATTACAAATGTTGCATCAGTAATTCAAGGAAACAGTATATTTAAGTAAAAGTGAGAGATAATTAAATAAACCAAAGAATAAACTAAGAATATTGGCATGATTGAAGAAGGCTGAACACTGGGGTTAGTGAGTTATGGTTTCATTAATGAGAAATTTAAATTGAATAAATTAAGGGATAGAAAGGAATTGAAGTGTTTAAAGCCATAGCTTGTTAAGAACCACATAAATTGAGGATGTAGAAACAATGTTCTCACAGGAAGATGGAAGCACTACAGGGTTGAGTCCAAGCCTCTGCTCCCAGTTTGATAAATCTTCCCTGGGCAAAAACCTGAGATAAGAAGTAGACAACCAGAAAGAGTAAGATTCTCATGAGAAAACAAAGGGAAAATCAGAAAATGTTTATTGCAGGATGACTGTGAATTAGAAGGTGAGGGAACCCCGGGAATGAGAGCTGAACTCAGCTTTGACATACTAAACTGCACCCACAGGTTTATTGCTGCCCTCGATGATGCTTGTTCTGTTTCTTCAGTGTTTTTTATAATAATATGAAGGTTGAAAAATAGCAATAGTTCATTATTGAGCTAAGAATTAAAATGGGTCATGACATGGGACCTTCCGTTTCCTGAATTGCATAATTTTGAGACTTGATTAAATACATGAACATTATTTCCTAATTTGAAACTTACACATGTTTGAAATAGGTATTATCTTTCCATTATTAGTTTTGTTCTATTGACAAAGAAGCTGAGCTCAGAAAATCTAAATAATAAAAGATAGCATGGCAAATGCCAAAGTGTGAAAATGATAATAAATCTCTGTGGAGGAAGCCTGTGCTTCTCTCCTGATGCTGGTCTGTGATGAGCTGTTTGCACTCTCCTGATGATTTTATTTTCTCTGTGAAGGAAGTACATTGTGGAGTGTAAGAAATAGTAGTTAGCTATAAAAGAGGTGCAAGTTCTTTTTAACTTGAGCTCGTAGTACATAACTAAAACTAGAGTCTTCTGTTTATGGGATTTACAATAATGCTCTTGTGTAAACTTGAACATTTCAGAGATGCATTTATTATTCGATCAATTTGTTTTTTTAAAAATAACTATGAAACAAATAGAGACTTTGTGATTATGAACTGCTACAAACAGAACACGTTTTTGCTTTCTCAACATGTACAAACAAAACCATGATTGCATAACTCAAAACTCTTAAGATAATTACATATGTGTCTTTAATCAAACCCTTCTTCAATATCTGGAGTAAAAATGTCCCTGTCGCCAGAGAGGGTGAGGGTAATTATCTAGCCATTGGTCATTATTACCATATTTTCTAACTTGCTCTATAGAACACAGATGACTTGGGAAAAATGCATTTTACTTTTATTTAAATTATGAAATTTCTGCAAAATAATAACATAATATGACTAGTAAAGGTGTGAGATTGAAATTTAATAGAACGTTTAAAAAAAATAAAACTGGGTCTGGATGAGCACATTAAAAGCATCAGGGCTTATGAGAAAATCTGTAAGGGGAAAAAAATAGTGAAAGAACAGGTCCAAAGAATTTTCTTCTCTTTGACAGGTTGCTACCTTATTCTAGCACACTGAGGCAAGTGTTTTGACATAAGGAGGAATCAACAGAAAGCTTGGAGGCATGCAAGTCTATGTTTTCATTAATGTCCCCATGTTTTATGTCTCATTGATTTCTGGGGCAACTCATAAATACTTATGACCTCAGTCTAGGCATCCCACCTGCAGCAGTACCCACTCCTCTCTGCTTTTCGTCTCCCAGTACTTCCTTTAAATATTTTAGTGCTAAATGTATTCTCATTGCTTCATTAGTGCTGCTTAGTTTAAGGAGGAACTGCGAAACATGCTTTCTATAACAGGGCAGAAGACTGTTCTCTTTCTCCTAACGTAAACAAATTATCTTAACTGATGCCACTAAGGATCCACTCCACAACCCAGCTCATAGTTAACAAACTGTCTAAATGTAAACAAGTGCCACATTTTGTGTATGCCACATTTTCCTCATATCTCTATGGAGCTACTTGTTTACAATTCATTGTTCCATTTAGAGATCTAAATGAATATTTTTAATGTTTTAGAACATTGCCTGATATAGGGTAAATATTCTATGACTACTTGATCATTATCATTATTACTTTTATTATTATTTCAGATTTTTTCTTCCAACAACAATCATGCTGTTAACTGAAGCAAATCAGACTTCTGAAGTCACCTTCATCCTCCTGGGCTTCTCAGAATACCCAGACCTCCAGGTGCCCCTGTTCCTGGTGTTCCTGATCATCTACACAGTCACAGTGGTGGGGAATCTGGGCATGATCCTGACTATCAGGATCAATCCCAAACTTCAAACCCCTATGTACTTTTTTCTCAGTCACTTGTCTTTTATTGATTTCTGTTACTCCACTACGGTGACCCCCAAACTTCTGGAGAACCTGATTGTGGAAGACAGAACCATCTCTTTTGCAGGATGCATCACACAATTCCTCTGGGCTTGTATATTTGTAGTAGCCGAAACATTCATGTTGGCAGTGATGGCCTATGACCGATTCGTGGCGGTTTGTCACCCTCTCCTCTATACAGTCATCATGTCCCAGAAGCTGTGTGCATCATTAGTGGCTGGGACCTACACATGGGGTATAGTTTCTTCTGTGACACTCACCTGTTTTGTCTTGGCATTATCCTTCTGTGGGTCTAATATCATCAACAATTTTGTCTGTGAGCACTCTGCCATCGTCTCTGTCTCCTGTTCAGACCCCTCTGTCAGCCAAATGCTTTGTTTCGTCATTGCCATATTTGATGAGGTAAGCAGCCTCTGTATCATCCTCAGTACTTATATTTTTATCTTTGTCACTGTCATGAAAATGCCCTCCACCGGTGGACGCCAAAAAGCCTTCTCAACCTGTGCCTCCCATCTGACTGCCATCACCATTTTTCACGGGACTGTCTTGTTCCTTTATTGTGTACCCAATTCCAAAAACTCATGGCTCACAGTCAAAGTAGGTTCTGTATTTTATACAGTGGTCATCCCCATGCTGAACCCCTTGATCTACAGCCTCAGGAACAAAGATGTGAAGGAGAGTTTTAGGAAGTTAATGAATCACCTCACACTATGCTGTTGAAGACTCAGACTTCCAAATTTATTTGAGTTACTGACTGAAGCTTTTAAGTGTTTCTCATGCTCCCTGATGCAAATTATTTAGTCAGTTCATTGGTCAGAGGTTGAAATCTGTTTTAAGTCAATTATTTGGTAATTTTTTCCCATTTCAATATTTAGCAAAATAGCTCCATGAATTAATGTGCTACAAGTTGAATAGTGTCCCCTGAAATATCCACTCAGACCCTCTAAAGACCATATTTGGAAATAGCATTTTTGCAGTTACAATTCAGGTAAGGAGAAAAATGAGATCCTACAGGATTAGGGGAAACTAAATTCAGTAAAAGTGTCCTTATAAGAGAGAGTAAAGAAAAAAATGCATAGACAAATGAGGAAGAGGGCCACATAAAGAAGGGATCCAATTGGCATTTTAGGCAGAAACCAAGGAGTAAGGAGGGATTATCCTCAGCACCATCAGAGGGATCATAGTCCTTCCACCTCCTTGATTTCAGACTCTTGTCATGAGGTCTGTGAGAAAATGAATCTCTGTCTGCCGCAGTCTGGCTGGGCACAAATCACGAGCCACTGAAGCAGGAACAAACTTTATTTTTGAACTGCAGGAAAACACTTCACACAGCTCCCGGGGAATCCTCCCAAAGGCCACAGGGCTGGTCCAGGAACCCCCAGCCGGAAATATCTCTCCCGGAAATCCATCCTCCTGCACTTCCCCAACCAATGGGAACTCTCGGGGAATCCCCGGAAATCCCCACGAGAACTCTAAAATAGTGCCAGAACTCAAAAGTCGCGGCAGAGGCGGATAGTAATGCCTCGCCTGTCAATCAATACTGTTGGCAAAATGCCAGGGACCATACAGACTCGGCCATGGCTCTCAGCATCTGTCATTTAGAGTCACCAAATTTTGTGGTAGTTTATTCCAGCAGTCTTGGAAATGTAGGAAATAAGTAAATATCTAATCATAAAATCTAAGTCTCTTTTCTTATGCAGTGGCATGGTAAATAATGTTTAAAATATTCTTTAAATTCATTTTAACAATCAAAATGTCAACCTTACAGTGGAAGTCTGCATGTACAGAGATCAATCAGGGCTGAATAAGAATGTGTGTATGGAAGAATTACTGAAGAGAAGCTGGAACACATTATCTTAAAATTCTACCAAATTCTTTGTTCCTTTCCCTGCCACAGCCTGCCATACTTGTATTATGCTATAGAAAGTGATGTTAGACATAACATCTCACTCTCAATTAAAAATGTTTACTTCAGCTGAGGATGAAGTTTAGTAGTAGCTTGCACTGTTAAATAAATAAATAAATAAATAAAACATTGGATTTATGTGATGTTCCTCAGAAATTACCAAGAGAGGGGGGTGAAAGCAGAAAATATTGGTCTCAAAACCTGAATTGTCACAGTTGATTCTGTAAATTCAACTTACTAATAGAATAGAAAGCACAATGAAATTAATAATCTGTTTGTATAAATATTGCAAAAATTTTAAGATTTAGTTGATTACACATTAAATATGCATAGAATAACTTTGTTTGCTAGATAATTATGGCATTATTGAAACTCTTTTGATACAAATATCCTCTGAAGTTATTATTCACATGTTTGGCTTAAACCAGAGATTGTCTGAGTCTGAAAAAAGATCAAACAAAATTTGATCTTTTTATTCCTTTACGAATTATACTTTGTGTTACCAAGTTTCAAGGCTATGTCCTGTGCATACATCTGATATGTTACTCTGCATCATTTCTTTTAATAGAAAATATTTTTACCTTTATTAGGGCATTACTCATACTAGTGAAATTAATTTTGGTAGATTTTTTACTAAACACAACTAAATTGGATCCAATCCAGACTTGTTTGATGTCAGAGTTTTGAAATTTAACCAGTGTTTTGAATATATTTTTTAAATTTATTTATTACTTCTATTCAGTTGTACATGACACTAGAAAGTTCATTGATTCATTGTACACAAATGGAGAAGAATTTTTCACCTCTCTGGTTGTTCATAAAGTAGACTCACACCATTCATGCAATAATACACGTACCTAGAGCAATGATGTCTGTCTCATTCCACTGTCTTTCCTACCCCTTTGCCCCCCCTCAGCCTTTGCCCCAAAGTTTCTCCACTCATCCCATCCCCCGCCCATTATCTATTAGTATCCATTCATCAGAGAAAACATTCAGCCCCTTTATTTTTGAGATTGGTTTATTGTACTTAGCATGATATTTTCCAACTCCATTATTTACTTGTAAATACCAAAATTTTATTTTCTTTTAATGCTGAGTAGTATTCCATTGTGTATATGTACCACATTTTCTTTATCCATTCCTCCTATTGAAGGGCATCTAGGTTGCTTCCACAGTTTAGCAATTGTGAATTGTGCTGCTATAACCATTGAGATGGCTATGTCACTACAGCATGCAGATTTTAAGTCTTTATAGTATAGATTGAGGAGTGGAATAGCTGAGTCAAATGGTACTTGCATTCCAAGTGTTCTAAGGAATCTGCATACTGCTCTCCAGATTGATTGCACCAATTTACCCTACATGATCTTAATTATTAAATATTAATTAGTTCCCTAGAATAACTGTGTTCATCTCAAACAAAGCCTTTAACTTCATTTTGTTATTAAAAAAATGTATCACCAAACCTTCCCTTTTATATGACAGTAGATAATTATAAAGCATATCACACACACGTCACCATGAATCTGGACAATTAGTGTTATACTGGATTACACATTTTGCAATGAGGTATGGAAATGCAACTCAAGATTGGTTCACTCTAGGAACAAAATGGGAACTTCCAGTGTTAATTCCACTACTTAAGCCTGAACATATGTATGTGTGGTGGGGTTAGGGTTGTGATATTATAGTTATTGAAGAATGAGAAACATATTTTCCCTCTTCTGAAACATTTATGTCAAATTGAGTATTTTTAATGAATATCCTTAGGAATAAACTAGTTTGTTAAGTTCTTTGTGGTATATTGGCTTGTATATGAAGAGAGGATGAATTTCTTTTGATCTTTTTATTGTGAATACAATAAGATAATGATAAAGGACAATGCAGAAAAGAAGTCAGAAAAATCTGTGATTATTTAATTATTAGTAGCACAAATCAGCAGAAATTATCAGACCCAAGGTAATCAACATCTTTAATTATTGATTAAATTATTAAATGTACTAAAATATTTCTCTACAACTCTGAAAGTACATAAATTAGGTAAGATAATAAGAATGGTGTACCCTCTGATCATAATTTGTTAGATTTTCAGGGAAGCAGTCTGTGAGTTATAGATATTTACAAAGGAATACACAAAATTTCACAGAAATATATTTATTAAAATTGCATGTAGTGCTAAAATGTTTTTGAGTCTACTAACTTCTATGTAGACTCTCTCACATTTCCACACCTCATGTTAAATGTCTGTGAGTTCAACATGGGTATGAGCACTCAGAGACTCTGCTGCCCACTGGTAGGAGGTATCTTAAGGACTGAGTTGAAAATAAAAGCAAAGAAGCAACGGATATAAGCTTTCTTAACTCATCAAAATTGGCTAAACTTAAATTTTTAAAGCTATTTGGATGAAGTGAACATTGTACAAAAGGTCAACAGAATATTTATATCAAATCTAACTATGTTGGACCCATAATAGGCAGCAAAGAAGAGAATAAATATCAGGAAACAGAACAGAGTCCCAGGTGTGCTATTCAATATAGTGTGGCACCTGTGTATGCATTTTTTTTAAATTCAGTTTCTAAAAGGTAGTAGTTAGTAAATATTAGTAAAAAATAGCATGAGTCAAGACATTGATGAACCTACTAGCTGAAGACAATAAGGAAAGAACACAAGCAAATCAGGACATCTGAGTGACATGAAGAGTGTCTGCTGCTCCCATTCCATGACAAGATGTTAAAACCAGCTCTCCACTACTTTGCCTGACCTCCACTCAGGAAAAGCATGAAGAAAATGGAGAGTGGTCTCCTGAAGAGAGTATGGAGCAAGTACCTGCTCTTGTGAAGAGCACCAGGTGGTAGTGATGCTAGCGAGGGGTCACTATGCCATTTCAAAAAACTGGCAGAGAAGTCTAAATCTCTCAATTAACCTCATCAATCAAAAAAGGCTTAAAACTTTGTTTGACATGTAAAAGAAATACATTTGAATATTATTCAAAGCCTACAAGGAATTACAAAATAACTCACAGAAGCAACTAGAAAGTAAGATACGGTTTCATACAGTTGGCAAAAATGTTTTAAGCTATGTGTAAAGTAAAATGTATTAGCACTTTGAATATATTATGCAAATTAGATGAAAAAATAGATAACAGTGAGTTCATTTATTAATCTAGAGATAACAGATATTGTATTATTTTCTGATTCCACAAGGATGGTAATGACCTATAAACAGCTCCATTTTGTAAGTCACTACTAACAGAATGGCTCACTGTGATATTGTTTTACTTGTTTTAAATCTCTCTCTCTCTCTCTCTCTCTCTCTCTCTCTCTCACACACACACACACACACACACATACACACATGCACATCTCTGGCCAAATGTTATTTATGAAAATACAACCACATCAGTACACACATTGGATATATTAAAGATATAAGGTATGCATGTATCTATTCATCTCCATTTTATACACTTCTATCTTAGTCTTCAATAATTTCCTAATAACAAGAAATGATTAGTATAGTCTTCTTATATTCTGATTTCTATTTCTCAGTTTGTATATTTATATATATAAATGTGCATGTTTATGTGTATGTGTGTGGGGTGTGCGTGTGTGTGTGTATGTGTGTGTGGTTGCCCTATAAACTTGTTGCTTTTGGAATCTACCACATGCACATTACAAATATTTTTTAAACCAATGAATTCATTGAAATGTACCCTAGAATATATTCTAATTATTTAACTTTAATGATACATTTATTTAATCTAATATGTGTAAAATATTACAATGCCCACATAAAATCAGAAAATAAATTTGCAATATTTTTACGTTCTCTTTTCCTTACTAAGTTTTTGAAAGCAAGTGTGTAGTTCATACTTCCAGCACACCTCAATTAAGAGCTGACACATTACAAGGTCTCAAAAGCCACCTGGGGTGAGTGGCCACCATATTGGACAGAGTAACCTTAGAATTTCCCCCTGTGGTTTCTCCTGCCTTCCTCTGTCCTGCCCCCTGGCTTCCCTTCTGCTTCTTTTTTCTGTATCTCGGGCAGCTCATGCTTTTTGAAAGTCCTCTGCTAAATAAATTATTTTTGATGAGGGTGAAAAAAACTTTCAGAACTTAGTGACTAAAAACTATCTCTTGCCATTCTGTAAACTGACAGGATGGATATTGTGCCATTATCACCAAGGCCCATGCACACTGCTGCGATTATGTGAACAGAGCTAGTACTAATACTTCCACTCCAAGATGGTATCTGCTTATATGTCAGGTGATCTGGTGCTGGGTATTGACCGGGGTGCCTCTGTGCTTTTTCCAGCAACAACTTAACCTGCTTTTAAGTTCCACTGGCTTCCTTATATGATGCTCTCAGAGTTGGAAGAGAGTGAAAGTAGAAGCTATAAGACATCTTGCTGCTTCCCTCCAGAATCTGCAAGGCACTCATACCACACTTTCTTGGTCAAGAAAGTCACAATTCTGACTTAATGTGTCCATCACTATACTGTGTGCCCTAGCAGGAGCAAACTCTCTGGAGAGAAAAGACCTCCTAACTACTGGAGTTCATGGTTTCACTCACAGGAAGGAAGTTTTCAGTGGGTGGATCATCAATAGGTAGAAAAGCCATTCCCTTTACACTTTGGGCTCATTTATTCTGGTCTCAGAAATTATTCCAGAAATTGCAATGCATTTTGGTTGCAGAGTCTATATATTGAGCCTATGTATCACATTCCAGTGGATAGTATTTTAGAGGTAATCTTTCCATCCTCCTGAAATATTCCCATACAACTTTTCTCAGCCAAATTTGAAAAGACAACCCTATTTTAAATTTGCAATTCTTCCTGAAAGCCTTCTTTGTTCACTGCTGTCCTTCAGGGCTACCCCAGAGATGGACGATTGTGCTACAGCTATCTACCTTTAGGTTGTGCCAGCATTTCATGGGGAATTATCTGAAAAGAAGGTCTCAATGCTGTCTGCATATTCAAGTTGTCAAGGGAATGAGTTCATAGACTCTTGAGTTTTTGAATTCAGGCTGAGCAGAAGGAAGCAATGAAGTAAGAGTATGAACCCTGGATATTGGTGCCACATTCTCTTGTGATTTTAAAAAGAGGAGTGCAGCTGATTGCTGCCTTGCCTAATATGATAGACGGGTAGGATCACCAACATCCTGCTCAAAATGGGCCATTTGGGTTGCATGGTAGCTTGGGGATCTTTTACCAATCACTGTTGCTAGCAGAATGTGTTAAAATGACAGAAGCTGTTTCTCAAAAGGTGAATGTTACTGTTTCCCTTAACATTCTGATGTGTAATTTATTATGTGTCTTATGTAACATTCTGATAACCTCTATCTGCCATGTATCCTCCAAGGAGAATCATATACACTGGGTTATGTGGCCCAAGTAACTGAACAGCCTTTATGGAAGACTGCACTTGTTATAAAGTTTTCTTTTGTTATGGTACCCACTTAGTAGGAACCACATTTTGATGGGTTTTATAGACAGGCTAGAGTAACATACCTGAATCTCCTATAAGCTTCCTTCAAAATATAGAGATACCCTGATTTTCTGAAGTAGATGAGGCAGTATTTCATCTTTATTTATTTATTTTTAATCATAGAGGGCATTTTAATTATATGTAAACAAAGTATGATACTTAACTCCATGCTGTTATTTTTCTGTGTAATTTCAAGAAAATACCACTTATTCTAAGAGACTTGCCTTAATTGCTTGTGTAGGTGCTTGTGAGGAATAATTTGCTGTTGATTCTCTAGAGTTACTGTCCCTGGGGTTGTAAATTTAGATATAAGATGTTTTGTGTCCCCATTATACTCAGCCTACAGAGAAACAGGAGGGCGGTGACCTGTTTCTCTGTGGCAGGTAAGTTTATTCAGGTTTCCTATGAAATTGTGAAAATATTTTTTCCTAATATTATAACTGGGATTCTCTTTGACTTTTTCCTTTTATGCTAAGTTACTGTAAATGCAATTGAATTCTGATCCATGGAATAATCATGTAAATATTTCAAACTCATTTAAATATTTGGCCTCTAGGTACCTAGACATCCATTTCATGAAGAAAATAAACCCATAAAGCCTAATAAAGTATGTGTTCCCATTGTTCTCCTTGATCACTCAGCAGGTAATATATTCTATTAAGGAAATAAGCTTATGAGAGAAAAAAGTGCTGAAATGGGATTGTTCCTCTCTTTATCGATAACCCCCTAATATTTTACTTATGTTTAATATAGAACATATTCTCTCACTCTCACTGACTTTAATTGGTTTGTGCAAATAAAATACAGTTGCAATGCATATTATTCTTTGAAGCAAATAATTCATTTTTTTCACTAACTCATCACTGGTTTGTGAATTTATATCCTTTTCCTATCAATTATGTGCCTTTCATGCTTATCGACAGTATTGCCACTCATCCCCATAAATCTTATGTTTGACAGGAGCAAGTGTCTTCACCTACACTCCCCCATGGAAGGAAGTTATGTGATGGCTGTAGGAAATCTGAGTCTGGAGACAACTTTTGCCCTCTTAGGTTTCACAGACTTCCCAGAGCTTCAGATACCTCTCTTTCTCATCTTTCTGCTCATGTACATTATCACCGTGGTGGGAAACCTTGGGATGATAGTGATCATCAACATCAACCCCAAGTTCCATACCCCCATGTACTTCTTCCTCAGTCACCTTTCTTTTGTTGACTTTTGTTACTCTTCCATCGTCACCCCCAAGCTGCTGGAGAACTTGGTCTTGGCGGATAAAAGCATCTTCTACTCCAGCTGCATGCTGCAGTACTTCCTGTCCTGCACGGCTGTGGTGACTGAGTCCTTCCTATTGGCAGTGATGGCCTATGACCGATTTGTGGCTATCTGTAATCCCTTGCTGTATACAGTGGTCATGTCACAGAGACTCTGTGCCCTACTGGTGGCTGGGTCATATATCTGGGGTATGTTTGGCCCCTTGGTCCTGCTTTGCTATGCTCTTCGGCTGAGCTTTTCTGGATTTAATGTAATCAACCACTTTTTCTGTGAATATACTGCCCTCATTGCTGTCTCCAGCTCTGACATCCGTGTCCCACACTTGCTGCTTTTTGGCTTTGCCACCTTCAATGAGGTCAGCACACTACTGATCATCCTTACCTCGTATGTGTTTATTTTTGTAACTGTGTTAAAAATTCGTTCTGCCAGTGGGCGTCACAAAGCCTTCTCCACCTGTGCCTCCCACCTGACTGCCATCACCATCTTCCATGGGACGATCCTTTCTCTCTACTGTGTGCCCAACTCCAAAAACTCCCGGCAAACAGTCAAAGTGGCCTCTGTGTTTTACACAGTCGTCAACCCCATGCTGAATCCCCTGATCTACAGCCTGAGGAACAAAGATGTCAAAGAGGCTGTCTGGAAATTGGTAGGGGAAAAAGTACCATTTCACTGAACCAGTCTCAAGAAACGTTTCCATCCTAACGAATAAGAGAACAGAACAGAACCTGTTTCTAAGCCTATAGCGTGTGTTTCTATGAGATTTGTACAGATGATTGAGAAGCGTGGACTGGTAAATTCAAATCTCATGAAGAAAAGAAAGAAGTGTAATATTGAGATGAATTTCATAAGATTCTGATCCATGAAACATCTACTTCTTTGAAGCCTCTGAACTCAAATTATTTTTAAAAAAACACAAAATATTATAGAACATGTAGTGTGGGGGATACAGTCACTAAAAGAATGATTGTAACTCACCACAGAATTATTATTATTTTTTTTCTCATTTGTTAATGTGTATCCAATGAATGCCTGGCCTTTAAGGTCATTTGAGTTGTGTCATGGAAGTATTGTGTCAATGTGGGGAGATAAAGGTGGATATGCTCTGCGATTAAAAAATAAAATCTTTTCTGATACCTTCATGCCATGGTTCTGTGAATTTTAGAACTTGAGAGTCTGGCAGTTAAAACATTCAAGTCATCTTCTGTTGAGACACAGGATAAGGACAATTATGTTTGTTGGGTACATGGCTACACTAACTTCGAATGACTGATGTGACTTGAAACAGGAACTGAACTCTATGTCTGACTACAGATCTATTGCCCTTTCTGCTTAGTGCTGCTGAGACTTTTAGCGGAAGAGTGCGTAAAAATTAATTCTGTCTTTCAGAAAAGACAAACATTGGAATCTTCAATATTTCTAGGTAGCACACTGGTATTACTAGTCAAATGTTGCAGTCCCAGAATCTTCATACCTGGGAATCTCTAACATTATCTAATCCAGTTTATCCAGAATATAAGCAATAAATAAATCATTTGGTTTCTATGAAAGTTACTGGGATAGCAATTCATTCCTCTCAACTTTGTTAAATAAAGAAACTCTATTCAATGTATCTTTCCTGTATGAATTGCATTTTAAGGTCATTTAACAGTTAACATGAGAGGACATTCAGAAGAAATCAAGGCTGAAAAAGCAGAAATAAGAAAATCACAACTCTAGAACTGTTCATCTGAAAAAAATTTAAAAGATCATGGTGATCGCAATGATTTCAATGGGTGTTAAAATCATTAGGCAAAAGAGAGTGGGTAATTTTAAAATAAAGTAATCAACCTAATGCTGTCCCTACATGCAGGGTGTACTCCACATAGGCTTCATACAAGAATGCTCAAGAAATACATTTAGGACAGGGAAAATTAATCCATGCATCAACAGTTCTTGGAGTTCCTTGTTTTGAGGCTTGCAGTATTGAGGAAAGTATTTCATTGTTGTTTCCTTGGAAGTCTTCAAATGACTGAAAGATTTACTGTAATATTGATGTACTGTTTCTGGTTTTACTATTACAGATTATTTCTGCTGATCTGAAATTGTTTATCAGTAATGGACTAACAAAAGTGTGCCACAATAGCACTCTACTAATGCCATTCAATATTTCTTTATTGTCCTATGACAAACCAAGTTAGTGGCATAAATACAGCCTTGAAGGACAAATACAGATATATCCTATATTGTCCATGTTATATATTTACAAAGAAATTGAGAAAATGCACAGAAAGCTCACCTACTCCAGAGTTGTTAAGATACATAAATAAAAGACCTTCTATTTGAAAATAAATGGGTTTGCTCTTCTTTGCAAACAACTCAAAACTCAAACTCAAATCTCAAAACTCTATTCCTTCACTAAAGCCCCTTGCCCGACATCTCTAAATAAAATGGCAACTATGTTAACATCTATTTTGGTACTAAAGGAAATGATCACATATTTATCTATTTTTATATCCTACTTTAAACATAACTTTGAAGAGCAAAGAAACGCTGTCTCACCAACTCTTAAGACAGTACCTGGCTCAAGGTAAGCCTGTCATAAATATTTATTGAATGAATAAATCAATGAACAATTAAATGAGTAAATTACATATCATCATTATGAACTCAATCTTCTTTCCCTGATTCCTGTACCAGAAGACAATGATCATGGAATGATAATTGTTTTAATTCTGAGTATGAAATGCATACTTTTCAAACAGTGTGTGCTCAATGGTTATTACTTATTATGGCTTATTACTAGAGAAAGATTAGATATCTTTGGAGAGGAATGTTTTAATGAGATTTCATTTTATATTCTTATATCAAAAGCATATCCTTGGACATAATTGGTATGCAAACACGCTGAGTGACTGGACATGAAAATATTCTAAAGAAGCTACTTTAGGTTTTCTGAAGGAGAATAATTGAGATATCAGTTTCCATTTGCAAATAATTTCTCCATGCTGTACATTTGTTAAAAATACTGAGGTGCCACAAAAAATAAAGCACATGGTGGGAAGTGGGTTGCCAAAGCAAAATTGTACTTCTGCAGAAGGGTGCGCTCCCAAAGAGAATCTGAAGGACAAGTTCATCTAGGAAGGCAGTAGGATAATATTCATTCCTAAAGAGATAGCACCCATTGTTCCTGGCTCCTGATAAGAAGAGCCCCTGGTTATACTCTACAGGATTAGCTAATTTAAAATCTGGGGTGGGCATTAAACAGGGCTACAGTTGTGATTGGATACATATTAGGGAATTGTAAAAATGGCTTTATTCTGACCACATGGTTCCCAAAATTAAGAAGGATCAATGCTACAGGTGAAACAAGTTACAGTAAACATGCATGTGCTACATTTCAGGTTCAACTATAATAGAAAGGAAAACATAAATATCATATATTATTTTAGAGATACAATATGTCTATTGCAATAAGCTTGGCTAAAAAAATATCATTACAGAAGACCTTTGTTTTCATTTTTACTGCCAACTTTTAAAATATTATTTTAATAGGTAAATTATAATAGTATACATTTACTTTAAATAATCACAATGTAGTAATATTCAGAAGTTTTTTGAACTCTCTGTTCTCTACTTCCCCACAGTTTTGGTAGGTTTAGCTCTGTCCCAGTTGCATGAAAGGTCATATTTATTATTCAACAATTATTCATGGTATAATTTGTGCTAGTTATTAGTCTAGCAGCTTATAATATATCAGTGAACTCAACAATGAATTTCTCACTTTCCCAGAAAATTTATTTTAGCAAAGGGAAACAAATTATATATTTAAAATGCAGTACAAAAGAATTTAAGAAATACATTTTTCTGTGTTAAACACTTTAAATGGTAATATTGTGGAATAGAGTAATCCCTTCAGTATAGTAGTGTGTTCATATAAGACTTCACTAAAAAATATATATTGGGCTGGGGATGTGGCTCAAGTGATAACGTGCTCACCTGGCATGTGCAGGGCACTAGGTTCAATCCTCAGCACCATATAAAATAAAGATGTTGTGTCCACTGAAAACTGAAAAATAAATATTAAAAAATTTTCTCTCTCTCTCTCTGTCTGTCTTCTCTCTCTCTCTCTCTCTCTCTCTCTCTCAAAAGATATATAAGCAGAAATTAAAAGGAAAGAATTCCAGTAAGAGGGAGTATAAAAGCCAACAATGAAGGAGTGTGGTCTTCTTTTAAGAAACAATGAGGAAGTCGGAGTATCTGCATGCACAGCTAGTGTAATAGTTAGCTTGTACTCACTGTGATCTGACAAGGACAAGTTACAGGAGGAAAAGGTTTCAGAGGATCAGTGCATGGTTGGCCCACTCTGAAGCTGAGGGCCAGAGATAAGGCAGGTCAACATGGTAGTAGGATACTTTGGGGGAAGGAGTTCATGACAAGGCACCCAGTAAGCAGAGAACTCTACACACTAAAGGCAAAATATAAGCTCCCAGGGAACATCCCACTGAAAACCTTTCTCTAGCCACTTTTTGCCTGTCTACACTTACTGCCCAGTTAATTTATATCAGTGGATTAATCCAACATTTAAATGACATGTCTCATAATCTAATCATTTCACCTCTGAAAAGTTGGGCATAGTCTCACAAATGACCTTTTCAGGGACCCCCCACAACTGAACCAAACAGAGGAAAGAAACAACAGATAGGGCCAAGATTTAACAGGGACTTGATCATTTATCCAGTTGAATGCTGACCTTTGTAAATCTTCCTGCTTTAACTTTCAGTGAAACATTACAACCTGAAGAGCTGGATATTCACTCTTTTCCAATATGAACAAATTATTTAATATGGTAGAAAAGTATTAGGCCTAGCAAATACTAGCAAATCATTTTATATTGATGATTCTTATATATATTTCTATAAATGAAATTTATGGAGCATGAAATTTATGGGGCAAAAGACAGTAATGAAGGTATGGGAAAGGTGAATGAAATATGTGTTATATAAAATGCTCCTGATGCTGCTAGATTTTTTTCTCTAAATTTTCTCAGATATTAAAATTATATCAATTTGAGGTGATTAATTTTAATTGCTTGTGTATGACCTCAAGAGAATTAAGCAATTGATTGTCTCTAGGGTTCTTATCTCCCAAACTAACTATAGATATAAGAATATTTGCATTGCCCCCAACGAGGCAAGCTCCTGCCTTAGCTGTCAGCAGGTTTGTTTTCAAATTCAAAAGACATATTGGTTTAAATTCAATGTAGGAAACCGACCCTCTTAAAACTAGAGATTTCTTGAGAAATAGATGTGAAAGAACCAGGAACAGTGAGTACACTTTTTCTACAAAGTTTCATATTAGAGGACCATCTTAACTAGCCCCTCACCAGTATCACAAAAACAAAAAAAAATCATGTATTGTCTCACTTTTGCAAATTATTAAGGAGTTCTCAAGATAGAATATTTAAATAAAATGAAATAGACATTGAATAGAATGTCTATAAAAAATAAAGACCCTTATTTGATTAAAGTTAGAAGAATGTAACCACTGATAGCAAAAATAACAAGCACAATTGAGAAAAAATACTGGGATGAAGATTGCAGCTATAATTTTTTCCTGGACTGTAAGTTCATATAAGTTTTCTTTTTTTTTAACCCGGGATTTCATAATAGCATTTGTGATAATGCAGTCATTGCA